AGCACACAATTGGTTGACCATAACTCAACCCGGAAATCTAAGATGTGTTTTTTGGATAAAACATCTTAGAAACACGACAGAGATACCTCCTTTTCCAAATCAGGAGTAGGTTCCAAAACATATGTGATTACTACACATTTGTCTGGAACCCAAAGCATCTATGATGCAACAGGAATCTGCACGCCTACTGACACAATGTCCCAACATCTTGTAGGACATTAGTTCCCTTCTTCTGGAACTCACAGAACAGATCTTGGTTCTGAAGCCTAACACTTCTTCCAGAAAACAAATAACCCTTGATCAACTTCAAGGTCCACAAAAATATTCCAAGCTTTAGCAATACTAAACAACAGTAAGACTCAGAGTCACTTTCCTAATTAAGGTAAGCATTAGGAAGACACTGCATGAAGAAATAAATGTCTTTGATCATTCTTCAACAAACTTATCAAAAGTGCCTGTATGAGTGGACTTGAGAGATAAAACTCAAGTATCGTTGGCAACTTCACAGAGTCAGTTGAGACTGTCTTGCACACACTACAACATCACACACCAAACCTGATGAGGAGACCAAACCCTAATGTTGTTTTTTTACTTGCGACACAAGGAACAACCAGGGTTACAACAGATACGATGTAGCAGAATACACAACAACACAAAACTACTCAACAATCTTCGGGCACAACATAATAACCCTTGCACAAACTTACTACACTCCAGGTGCAACAGGTAAACATATATTTGAACATAAATCAAACCACTAAGCAGCTCCACCAAAGCTAAAATCCTAATAACAACTAATAGGTCCAATACACACCTTGTCATGATCAGTCCATCCTCAACTTCTAGGGACCGTTCAAACCACAATATGAACTTATCCAAGTTCAAACACCTTTTCAGTAAAAAACCTCATTCCTTTCCCATGATCAGAAAGTATCATCCCAGTATCTCACCAAGAACAGAATATGATGCCTGCTCTGATACCAATTGAAATTATGGTATGACAGAACTCAGATGTCCTATAGGATGTCGAGACATCTGTTCTGACAGAAACAACATATGCAAGGTATACACATATTAAGACAATACTGAAAAGATAAACAACACATAAAGTTGTTAACCCAGTTTGTGAAAACCAACACCTACTCTCGGGGCTACCAAGCCATGAAGGAAATCCACTAGCCAATATAAATTCAAAGCTAAACTAATACCAAGTTTACAACTTATCACTTAATCACTACCCTGTGCAACTTCTATCTAGGTCCTCCCTAGATATGAGAAATCCCATCTCACCTCCAATCACCGCAATGATGTCTAACAATCCCAGTCCCAGTTACTGTATTGACGACCTTTCACCTACATGAAAATCAAACTTCAAATGCAAAACTAGAAGACACACTTCCATGACAATACTCATCAAGACACTTGACAAGAACACAACTTGGATTTGCTTCAAAGCTTCATCCAAGAATAATATTCAACTCATTACTTCACAACTTCTGAGTGAGAACACAGTGACCATCTTACAACCCGAGTGGTTCACACACACCAACTCTCATAGAGAGTGGTTACAGACTCAGCCATAATGATTACATCTTTACAATTTTTGGCTGGTACCTTTCCTAGGTTACAAACACTTCTATTTATAACATGTTTCTCAACTGGATTTTGGCCTTCAATCACAGCTCATTAGTTGTTACAATTCTGCAGAAGATTCTGTATAACAATAGGCCTTTAATCGAATCTTCCTAACTTATCTCCATAATTAGCAAGTGCATATTCTTCAATATTCTTCTTGACCTATAAAACAACGCCACATAGGATAATATAATATCCTTAAAATATATTCTGTCTTTGTGACTTGACAGAATATAATAATCAGTTCAGCTCAGGCGCGATGTCAAATGAACCTGCATAAGACATCTTATCTGACATGTTGCTCCAGATGTTGAAATATTTCAACTCAACATGTCTCAACATACGATATGACTTCTTGCTCAACCTTTTCCTGTTAGTAAGTTAGCACACCCTATCTAACATATTGCTGCTATATTAGTTTTATCAAACATAATGTTAATCACATAATTCAGAAAATTAACACCAAATGGGTTTGATAACATCTAAGCAAAAAGTTGAGCAAACCACATTTGTTGAAATTTAAATTGACAAGCATTAGAGCCTAAGTTATTATTGAAATTAAGCATCAAAGGAAAGTGGTAAGATCTAACTTTAGTTAGAATGCATCAAGAGTTATATTGAAAAGATTGAGCCAATCCATGTTACAGATAGTTATATCCAGTCTCTTAAGAGTGCTAGCACTATAAATTCTACCATTCAACCAAGTGTAATAAGCTCTAACTATAGGCAAGTGTAGGAGCTCATTATGATTGGTCCAATCTTTGAAACTTATGAATAGGGAGTCTAGCAGGGGAGGTGGCTCCAATATGCTCTTGGGCGCCAATGACCACATTAAAATCACCCAATTTTATGATTCGAGATTATATCAGATAAATCATGTCATAGAAATCTTCTCCTAATATAACTGGTTGATGCATAGATGTCAATCAACCTAAAACAATTATTCTCAAAATTAGAAGTGAAAGCAATATGCTGCTCACCTATAGATAAGATAACATGATCAAACAAACACTTGCAAAAACACCATAAGTTAGCAATGTTATTTAGCCTATCATTAACATAAATAAGCTTTAAACCAAGATTAGAAAAACAATTATACGGAATATTGTCATAATCCATCAAAGGTTCAGAAATAAAAAAGAAATCATGATTATTCTTAGTAATCAATCTTCTGAGAGCTAATTTAGTAGGATTATTGGCTAAACCTCTCAAATTCCAAATCTTCCAAATCCGAAGGATCCAAGTCTTCCTCACTCTGATTTTTCGCCAAAGCCTCCTAAGAGTCATGTAAATATTTCTAGTTCTCATTTAAATTCTTAACAGAAGAATTTTCAATTGAGTAACAATCATCTTCAATAATTTGAGTAACATCCACGAATTCTTTATCCAAAGAACAATCATCAGATTCCAACGGTTCTTCTTCGTTGATGTCAACAAGAGCTGAAATTTTGTTCATTAAAGTTGGAGACTTCACAACTCTACTTGTTTGAGCACGATGTTCCCCAATTTTATAGGATTCCACAAAAGACCAACAACTTTGCAACCATAACATAATAGTGACAAGTTTTTGTTGATTTGACTTTTTTCTTCAATTTATATATTTTCTACATAATAAATGGTTAATTTATCCGAGCAGGTATCAATAATTTTTACTTATCTTTTGGCAAATATATAAAAACAAATTTTGAAATACTTGTGAGTGTGGTAAGATACAATTACTTTTTAGATAAAAGTATTTTAAGATTATAATAAACTTATTAATAAATTAATATTACAAAACTACATGATATAAAATAGTTGAATTACTAAATTTGATAATTCAAGTGTAATTGATGTAATAATAAGTTTTATTTTACTATTAGTGATCAAGTGTAACTACAACAACAACATAATATTATGTCTTCTAGACCAGTCATATCGACTTTGGTCGACTACTCTAATGGAATATAATCACTATTAAAAATATGACATTTGAAAAAAGTTTTTATATCAAGTATAAAAATATAAAGTATAAAAATATATGATGTGAAAAATATTTGTCAAAAGATTTAACATCATACATTTATTTTCAATGATATGAAAAATATTTGATTTAAGAAAAATATAATACGGTGGCAGTTTGGTAAACAAAATGCAATTTTGTTATAAAAGATTTTACACCGGATCTAGATTTTCCCCGATGTGAAAAGTCTAATGATTAAAAAAAATAAAAATACGGTGACAGTTTGGTAAATAAAAGGATTTGTGTTATGAAAGATCATTACATCGGGCCAACTGCCCAACCGATGTAAAGAGCATTAAAATGGTCGTTACATCGGGCCATAGGCCCAACCAATGTAAAAAACGTGTCTTTTTTTCACAAAACCCAAACATTCTTTACCATACTTATTTCGCCGCATTCGTACAACCATCAAACTTTAACGAAAATCATCTTCTTTGTTCTCTTTCACACAAGCAGGCAAGAATCCATTAGGAATCTGAATCTATTCTCTTCAATCGAATTCTCCTTCTTCGATCCACGCACGTGTTTCGCCATACTAGACACGATGGGCGTTGACGTGTGGTTGTTTATCAACACCGCAATCTCCACCGCGTCTCTGGATAATGCCGGCGAGTTAAAGCAATGAAGAGACGAAGTCGTTGAGCGCCTTTAATCTTCCACCACTACTTCTCCGCTTTGTCAGAATTGTGAAGGAGGAGGAAGCCTTTTGACTGACGGTAACCAAATCAGGAATCAAAGTAACCCTAGTTTAAGCCCTAAAGGAAATCAGCATCGTGGCGGTGGCTCATCTCCTCCGATGCCGCAGTCGCAAGGCAACGATGATGAGGAAGATGAGGAGATAGATCCTTACGGTGGTTTGTTCGAGGATGAACAGAAGAAGATTCTAGAAATTAAATAGTTACTTGAAGATCCTAGACAGGTTTTGTTTATTGAATGTTTTTTTTAATTAGTAATTATTAGAAATGAATGAAGAACAACACTTATGATTTTTTTATATGATTTTCAGTCTGGAGATTTTTTGTTGGAGTTAATGCAAAATCTGGTGGAATATCGATATTACATTTCAAGAGTTGAAGGTGATTAATTTTATTTTGCTTTGAAATTGTTATTTAATTTTCATTTTCACTTTCATGTTCATGTACTTGTGAATTGTTTTTGTTTTGTTGATGGTTTGTTTTTGGTTCTTACAAGAGACTGACATTGGGAGGAATGTGAACCAGTTAAGGAAACATCCATTCAGCGATGTTCGTCGATTGGTGAAGCTACTTGTCAAGTAATAGAAGAGAATTTTATTGAGTTTTTTTTTGAAGAAATTATTGGTGTTTTATCTGAGCATTTGTTGAATTTGTGAGTATTGCTTTTGTTATGAGTAGGAAGTGGAAATAAATTGTGGATGAATGGGTAAGTTGAATCTACAAGGAGGAAAAAACATTGTCATGGGTAATGTTAATATTTTAGGTAGTATTTGTGAATGAGTTGAAAAGTAGAAATTGAAAGGATTTTGGAATATTCGAGTGAAATTTGTTAATAGGTGATTAATAGTATTAAACATTTGCAGCTGATGGTGACTCTCCTTTGCAGAAAACCACCCCAAATGAGCATCATCATCAGGTCAAAGAAATATTTTATTCCAATTACTTTTTCTTTTCATAAAGTTGAATGAAGAAGCTTCATTTTTAGGTTGCTAATGTTGTGTTTTATTTGTTTTCTGCATATTCTTAATTTTGTGTACTCACCATAGTTAATAAGACTTGTTGTATCAACCATAGTTCAATATGGTTTGTATAATAGTAATGGATAATAAGACTTGTTGTATCAATCATAGTTTAATATGGTTTGTATAATGGTCAATTAATAAATGGTGTATCTTGGTTATAAGTCACCATCTTACATTATTTTCTCAAGTTCTATAGGAAAATAGTGGATTTCAATTTTCAAGATAATTATGTTGTATGGATTGTGATGAGTGCAAATTAAATGAATTCATTTTTCTTTTAATGTTATGTTTATCAATAATATTATTTGGAACAAAATTTGAATGAGAAATTTTTTGAATCGATCATTGAAAAGGTAGAAGTTCAATCATCAGCCTCAATTACTCCATTGACCTAAATGTGGTCTTTGTGATGTTGGAAAAATATGAAAAATTAGGTACCAAAAAAATTAGTGATTTCGCTAAAAAGTAGTCTAATATTTTAATAAACACAACAAACATATTTTCATCGGTCCATAAAGACCACCGATGTTAAAACAAATATTTTACATCGGTCCTTAAAGACCACCGATGTTAAAACATACATTTTACATCCAGCCGTAACAACAATCGATGTAAAATATGATATCTATTGTAAAAAAAATAATATTAACCCCATTTTTCACATCGGATTGTCGCCTGATATAAAAGTCTTTCTTACACTAATGTACTACTTTCTGAATTTTTTTTCACAAGTATTTTTCTCATGATATTAAAATTTTTTTCAACTGCACACATCAAACGATTCTCCGCAATTGACTCCTAATAAATAATATATATATATATATATATATATATATATATATATATATATATATATATATATATATATATATATATATATATGCATTGGAAATATAAAATAAAGTACACAAGGGCTTTAGTTGAGAGGCATGCATGCTTTGAGTACAAGGTTTAAAGTTCAAATCTTTTTGGGACTAATTCATGAGATGAAGAAATAATAACCATTAGATTGACTTAAATAATTGTAAATAATTTTTAACTTTACTAACACACTTGATTTTTCAGTTATACTTTATGATCAAATACATTTTCTCTCACTTCTATAACTCATTTTCTCTCTTCCTTAACCATTAACAGCTTCTTTGTTTCAGCAAATATTAAATCCATCTTAGTGTTTATATCCATTCATGGTTTAAAGATAAAGAACAAGAACAAAATTGAATTAAATTTGTGCAATTCCATGTTTATTTCTTTTAGAAAAAACTAGTAAAAATTTCAAGCACTACAATAAATAATGTTTTTCATGACAAAGTTTTTATCTCACCCAAAGAAAAACTGAATATCAAGGTGCTCCATCTTTATTCATTTATAAAAATAAAAAATCAACTATTCCCTCGGTTGTTAAAATTACCGAGAGAAAAAATAAATCAGGACACACTTCAAATCCTAGTCATTATAGTTTATGTTTTTATTTTTTTTATAAATGTAAACTAAATGATCTAACCTTTTGGTTTTTGATAAAATCGAATGATAAGATAATTAGATTTTACTATAAAAGCACTTGTTAAACATATTTTACCCTAATCCTTCCTAATATGATGTCGCCCCAAACTCACATGCATTATTATTTAAGATAGATTGCAAGACATAAAAAATCTTCAATATTCTTCTATCTAGAACAAAACATTTTTTCTGCTCTTGCAATCTATTTCTCATAATGGTGTTGATTTGATTGTTGTTGTTGTTGTTGTTGTTGTAGTTTTGCTCATTTGATAGATTACAAGTGCAGAAAATCATTGTTGCTTCAAGTTAAACAAAGAAGAGAGCTCAACCTTTGAAAAGTTAAACAAAGAAGGGAGCTTAACTTTTCAGAAGATGAATATCAGTCAAATATAATGATTCTCATGGGGAAACAGATCTCTAACTTCTTGCATGAGACTTGAACAATCTCGGGGAAAACAAAATCTTGATATCAACGAAGATTTGTTCCATACAATGTATTTTTAATAATCTGGGTAACCTATGTACTTTGTAAACAAATTAATGTATTAATGTGTTGGGTAAACAATGTAACAATTTTCGTTAAAAAAAATTTAATCTTACCCCTCGGTTTTATTTCAAAACCGAGAGGTTAGAGAAACTAATATTTTAATAAAAAATACTTATTCACCTCGGTTTTTTGACATAACCGATGAGATAGTTAAGCATTTTATTACTATATTCACCAATCTTAAACAAATCTTAGCCGTTCATTTAATGGTTATCAACGTTCAAGACTTTGTCTTTAGTGATTCGCGTGAAATCTGGGGGGCATCCATTATAAAAGCATTCTAAATGTTAAAATAACCTAAATAAAACATGATGCACTTGAAACCCTTATTTTTTTGTGAGCAAAAAATTCTCTATGATGGATTGTAAGAGCATACAATTATTTGATTTAATGTTTGTTTTCTGTAAATATATTTTTGAGAAGAAAGTCAATTTATTTATCTAACACTTATTTATCTAACCTTTTTGTTTTACATCAGAGAAAATTGCAAGAAAAAGCCATATAAAATATTATGCACTCAACATTTTCTCTTCCCTGCACCAAATATTTATTCGAAGATCTAAGCTCTAGATCTTGATGAAAATTAATTTTTAATGTAATAATATCTGTAAATAATGTAATATTATAGTAAACAATTTACTTTGTAAATAAATTAATGTATTAATACTCTAGGTAAACAATGTAACGATTTACAAAAAAATCTTACCCCACGATTTTATTTGTAAACTGAGATATATGATACGTTAATTTTTAAAATAATAAAAATGTAGCTGCTGGGATTAGAACCCTTGTGGGTATAAATTTACCTCTCGATTATTATTCCACTGAGGTGATAAGTGGTGACTTATCATGATGCCCTTCGCTACCTCACTTCTTTAACCGAGATAAAATGCATTTCGCATCCGAGGTTAAAAGCGATTTTTGTAGTAGTGTTGGCTACCACTACTATAAATAATATATCTCATGATGAGACTTTCACCCTAGTAAGAAAAAAGAGGTATTATGCATAGGCGCGCCATGTTTTATTTTTTATAATAACAAAAATAACATATTCCTTTAGTTTTTAAGAAAACCGGGGGGAAAAACAAATTAGGACACACTTTGAATCTCAACTTTTGTAGTTTATGTTTTTATTTATTTATAAGTGTTATTAGTACCATGATTTTAGGATTGACAACAATTTTTCTAAAACATGGTTTACAGCAAGGATGTTATGGAAGATGTTCTAACATGCTGGTTAAGTTTATTTGAAGGCAGATGTTCTGGAAGATGTTGTAACATGTTGTATCAGAATATGTACAAGCTATTTTAAATCTTGCCAAATTTAATTGGATTCAGTGATATTCCTTTTGGATATGTCTCAGTAAATTTCGCAGGTCAAGAAGTATTAATCTGTAACAAGTTTTATATCTCCAGCTATACATAAGTTACTAAATTTTTCCTTGAGACTATTTAGGAAACTTTGTATTTCTTATTCCAAGATTTAAGGAGATTTTGTTGCACAATTGGTGCATCACTCAGTTTATGGATCAAAAAATATCTGGACGCAGATTTCGAAGCCCATGGATTACAGAGGTGTATTTAAAGGATAAAACATAAACCTAATGTATCAATTATTTTAATTAAGTCTTTCATAATTGGGAAATTAGGAAAAATTTAGAATCTTAGATTTTGAGAGTCTCTTGTGAGGCTTTAAGTCACCCATGTATCTTTTGATATTTGTGGTAGACGTAATGTTCTCTCTCAAAAGCCTTTAGGTAATGAGTTAAGTATTAATCTCAGATGAAGCTTTTAAGCAACACCAATATTGTACTTAGTTAAGAGTCTTAACTGAGTTTTGTGTTGGAAGTGTAATCTTCTTGTTGGGTTGTTTTTTGATACAATCACTGGGATTGAGAATGTTAGATATCATTAAGGTGATTATGAAGTGAGATGGTGATTTCTCATATCTAGATGATGACTTCTAGGTAGAAGTTTCATTGGATAATGATTAAGTGAGAAGTTGTAAACTGAGATTGTTTAGGCTTTAAACTTATACTACTAATAGTGGATTTCCTTCCTTCCTTGGTAGCCCCCATAGTAGGTGATATTGCACCTAACTGGATTAACAATTCTCTACGTTATTTATCATTCTGCAATTTAATTTCAATATCAATCATAACTTGATAAATGTGTTCAGTCTGTCAACCAATATTGTAACATATGTCTTGACAATGTTTTTATGTTAGGATATCAGTATGAACACATGTTGCATGTATCAGAATTTCAATTGGTAACAGAGAAAGCACCCTGGTCTATTGGGTGGGCTTTAAGGAGTATTTTTCTAGTACTACTGTTCTTTTTGGAATATTATAATGAGAGTATTTTGGTTATCAATGAACAACAGATGTTGAAAAATTGTTAGGATAGGAGAGTCCTTGTACTGAAGAGATAGAAGGGAAGTGGTTGAGTTGGATCTTTGTATCTATGAAATTATCAACTTTATGATCTATGGAATTGGTAAGCACTGTGTATCATTTGTATTGAGGCCAAAGATACTTAGAAATTTCTCAAGTCCACTCATAAAGACACATCTAAGTGTATTATGGAGAAAAGAGATCATATGAGAGACTGATCAAGAAGAAGATACTCTTGTCTCTAGAGGTTTGACATGAAAGTGACAAGCCAATGAAGAACAACAAGAGAATTCTTTTTGTTTCTAACTTTTAGGAACTTGTGTCCTGGTATCTAATGACGGATTTCTTATTATTATTGTGTTCCTTGGAAGGAAATCTAATCAGGTGTT